ACCCGCCGCTGTCGCGGTCGGGACATTTAACTTCGGCCCGCCCGCTGCTACCTAGGGGGGCCTCTGAGGAAGCTGGCAGCGCAAGGACGAAACGCTCCAACCACGTGGCCTGCGTGCGTACGTGCGTGAGTGAGTGTGGAGACCGCGAATATTAGCCGGGCGACGCACTCGCGGAGAGCAGCGAGGCTGCTCGGTTCTGGCCTGCTTCCAGTTCACTCGATTCCGTAAAAATGCCAACGAGCAACGGTAATCCCGCGCGGATTCCGCTCACGTCCCAACCGCCTGGCCTGCGCGTCCGTCTATCGTCGAATGGGACAGATCCGCGTACCCGGCCTCACGTCCATCGCGCGTGTCGCTTCGACGGCGAGTTTCCCGAACGGATCTCCGCCGGTTCGGCGGTGGCCCGCCGCCGACAGGTGTCGACGTTGTTCGAGAACGATCGATGCGAAGCCTCTCTCTCCGCGAGCCGATCGGTGGACTTTGCTTTTGTACAGGGAAGATATATCTCGTGCTCGCCGGCGACCGGCACACACCACTGCTCTACTATCTCCCTGGCAAGAGAGTCCGGCACGCGGAGATCACACCGAATCGTATCGCGGACCGAATGTCGCGGGCGACTGAGGCCAGCCTCTCCGGCCGGCGGCCTGAGAGATCGCGGAACGCACCGCGCATGCGTGCGGCCGATATTCGTCTCCCCCTCCCATCCCTCCGTCACCCCCGACCGACGAGGCTTTTCTGCGTCTCCTTCGTCCCTTACCTGTGCGCCCGTGTGCCACCGCGGGAGAGTGAGCACGGCCGTGTCTGCACACGACGCGACGCGTGCGTTTCACGGACTCCCATCGACAACGACGGGCACCGATCGCGGGGATTCGGTGATATCGATGCTCGAGCTGTCGACCTGTAGGCAGGGTCGCGGGCTGAATCGAAACGCGAATGGGATTCGTGTCGTGTCGGGGATCATTTCGTGTGCTCCGTGGAATGATTCTTACGAGACTTGTGACTCGTCGGAAATCGGTTGTAACCGGTCTTGATGCTGTTGAATGTTTTACCTGGGGACGGGAAATTAATTAGGGTCCGAGGAGCTGCGATTGATTTCGGGACGGGTTGATGTATTCCGAGTTTCTTGTGTCTGATGAGTGGAAGGGAGATTTGAATGATCTTTTTGATCTACTGGTAACGTTGCGGTATTTCTCGATCTTTTCTGACGAAGAGCTGATGCGATTTGGCTCGGTGTGGTCTACTTCTGGCTGTTCAATCTTCGTGCCGATGTTCGATATTCCGAAATCCGCTGCGTATCCGGCTCGATTCGATTTAGTAACTTATTTATTACATATTAGAGACAGATTCCGAAGCAACGATTTCCGTCGCGGTAAAGGACGAGCGGCTATCGCAGGTTATTTCCTATAATTGCTAATCACGGTCGTCCCGATCACGCCTGTCGATTAACGATTACCAGTCGCGGCTCGTAATCGCGGCGATTACGATTCAACGGTCGCCGGCGATGGCAATCGGATTACGCTTTTTCACGGCTCTCCGCGAATAACCGATCGGATCCGCGTTCCATCGGCGCGCCATCTTCCCCTCGGTTCGCGGTGCAACAGCCGAATCGCGCCTTACCCGTGACGGCCGTCGTTAAACGGGCAATACGCCGGGCGTTATCGCGTCCCGTAGCGCCGGGTTCCTCGGGAGCCAAAGGACCGCCGCGGAGCGGGTGTAGGAGTTGGCCTTGAACCGCTCGATGCCTCGGATAATGCGGATTACGCGAGAGAAAAAGCGCCGAGAGGCTCGGAGACGGTAGAAGCGGCCTCCGTCTTTTTCCCTCGCGTTCGCGGCTTCGGTTGCCCGTAACCGTATTGACAAATAGCGAATTAGCAGCGGAAGGCCGAGCGAAGATGGAAGCCGAGCAATCAGCCGCATTCCTCGGACTACCAATCAACCGGTAAACGCTCGGGATGTTCTTCGCGGACTGTTAGATTGGTTCGCCGTGTATCGCGTTCGATTAGGGCAATCATAAGGAATCTTCCGCGATGCGCCGAGCGTCCCACGTTTTTTCGTTATCCGCGCGTATCGGCCGGTACATGTGTTTCCGTCACGGTCCGCCGGCCGATCCGTGTACCGCGGCCGATTTTACGATCGTCGGACGACGGGCCCTTTTCGGGGCCGCCACCGCCTCCCGTCCCATTCACTTTCGCGTCGCCATTCAGAGACGCGCGCACGGCGGGACCACGAAATCCGGTCGAGCGGAGATCGAGCCGCGCACGTCCCGCCGGTCGCGGGGGAGAGGGGAAGGAGCGGTCGACGGGATCGCGACGCCATCCTTACAACCGGTACAACGGGGACTGGTTTTTCGTCGCGTACACGGAGGTCGTCGGGCGGTTTTTGTCGCCCTTTTAAGCCGGCCCAGCGATAAATAAACACGGCAGCCTCACCCCCTCTCCTCCGGCCCAGACGGCTTCCGCTCCGATTCGATCCTCGATAAGAGAGCGCGCCGCGTATCGCGAGGAAGCATCGCGCTGCTACTGTTGCGAGATCCCTCTGTGGCTAGGATGAGAATGCCTGGCTGATTGGTGGGTCAGCTTTCCTCATCTCCGGTTGGATGATAGTTTGCAGGGATCCAGGGGTTGGAAATCGGTGGTGTAGTTAGATAGTTATGTGTATGTTGGTTTCGGATCCGATTGTGTTGGTTGTTATGGATTCTATTGGGTGAAGATTTTCAACATGATTCAACAAATATATATTACTCAGTTCATTCGAGTTCAAAGTAAATATTCCTCTGTAATCAACTATTAAAAGGAAACATAGGCGTAACATATGCTTAGAATTTTTCTCTTTCTCCAATAAATTATTAATGACAAAGTAGCCGTATCGATCAGAGAGAAAGAAATCATAGGCCAAGGAGTAAATAGCCAGCTATTTGACTACTTACGGTAGTCAGAAGTGGTATGGTTATTGTCAACAATTTCGAACACTTTCGTAACCTTTCCAACACCCGATCACAACAAATCAAAACTAAACGAAACGCACAGAGAAGAACGTCTCCTGTTGCGTTCTGCTCATCAATCACCGATAATACGTCACCGGTTCCTTTCTCCCGGACAGGAAGACGTGAAAAGGAAGCACGACGTCATACGAGACGCAGGACCTCGTCCTCGGCCGATCGTCTGGCCCTTCAACGCCTCGTCGATCGTTTATCTCGTCCGCCCACTACCTGCGCGACCCGTTCGCTCGATCGAATCCCTGCGCCTCGCAGTTCCGAGCCGCTGCTTTATCTTCCCCGAGTTGGCGATCTTTCAAATGGAAGCTAGATATCAATTGTACGGGCGTAGCGTTCGTTCAGCTCGTTGGGACCAGTCATCCCCTAACGGTTTCACTCTCGTAGACTCGAGGAAATGTTTCCGAGAACCGTTCGTGCTCGTTGAATCTACATTACCGTCGACTATGAACAAATTATGAAACTTCATATATACTGTTAACCCTTAGCAGTCCTATGTCTAGACTCGACATTCTATTTTATTGCAACCTCTACCTTTAACAATTTTTTCTATATTTATTCGTAGTATCACAATTGTACCGTTTGAAGGTAACATTTCAATGACTCCCAAATATTCTTAAATCAATAGAACGTCATATTAAGCTGTCATTGAATGAACGTCGACGAATTTCTACATCTACAATTTCCAAAATCTAAATGAACGAATATCAACTTCCCCAGGAACAATAGAGTCTACTGTACAATAAATGCCCGCAAACCTAGTGTTAACCTCTTAGCTACCATTAGCAGAAGCTCGAAAAATTTCTCGGTGTACTATTGCTCGTGAAATGGCAATCGCAGCGAACCTTCAAATAAGTGGATCCTAATTCAACAATTACATCTTCCGTTAGTTCTACGTCATACAAACGCGATTATTTCCAATTTCCAATCGTTCATTTCGTCCAACCCAGTTCCGAAAGTTTCGATACACGAAGCACGCGTTGCCCGAAATTCTGCAACGCGTCGAGAAAACTGTATCCACTAGATAAGTGTCTACTTTCCACTGTACTTGCCCGTAATCCTGTTAACAATAACTGGAGTCCACGCGGATTCAGGAATATCATCAGCGACAGCGAGGCTGGAGATAAAAACGGAGTAATCCGTTCCGACCCACGCGCGAGTGAAGAACACCGGTGTTTAAGGCTAATATCAATCTCTCATTCGAGCAAGTATGATTCATTGAATTCTACTAGAGGTCTTCAGCGCGAGTCTCCCTCGTAATTACACGAGCAGAGGATAAATTGCGGCCCGACCGGGGAATCCGAACGGAACGCGTGTAATCAGCGTGCCGGATGAACGGAGCGTGGGTCCCAGGTGAGAGAGGGGAGGGGAGGGGACGAACGAACGAACGAAGACGAACAAATGACGCGGCGAGTTCGGGTCTGTAAGACACTCCCGTGGAATGCGATCGTCCCCTGCCCCGGGAAACGCGCGGAGGAGCCGGGCAGAATCTGGCGCGCGTTTTTCAAGATGATGGAGAGGAGTCCGACTTTCCAACGGATTATTCGGAGCAACCGAAACCGCCGTAGCTTTGTTCGGGACGGCAACGGAGGCGCTTTTGTGCTTCTATTCCTGCGCTCGCCGGCTCATTGCGCGGCGAACATGATCATAGTTTTACTTGTTTCGTGGTTAACGGCCCGTGACGTTTGAAGAAATGAAGATAAACTGATTTTGTAACGAGAATAGGACGGTCCGCGGTAATTCCACGAAAAAGTGGTAATCGTTTTCTGTGGAGATACTCGTTTTAACTGGGGATCGTTGCTGTTGCTAATTCATTAAGTTGTATTGTTGCTGTAATATGGCTTATACTTAATATTTATTGTTATATGTTTGTTTGGTAGTTTTAAGAAACTTAATATTTATATATTTGTTTGGTACTTTTTAAGAAACTTAATATTTATATATTTGTTTCGTACTTTTTAACAATAGAACTAATATGTCACTAGATTAATATGTAATCCCTATAAAAATTGTAATAATTGATTATTTTAAATTTCTTCAGACATTCATTATAGTATTCGAGTGAAACTACTTTTAAGATCATTTCGAATATTCAATGCTTTCAAGATATGAATAATTACGAAATAAAAACGTTGAAACCAGTCATTTTGAGTTCTGGTTCTAGTGTTAAGAAGCTTGTTATATTTATCGTTACTGAATGTTTCGCTTTTAGTGAAAGAGATCGGTTGCTTTAAGAACTCTGAAAAATGGATATCTCGACGGAAAGATTGATAGTTTCATAAAACACATGGCTGCAGCCCGAAGAACGAGCTTCCGTGGCATTCCATCAGCACCTTCGTGGTCACGCAGCGGAATTAGTCACACGGATTTAGGCATGGTCCTCGCGTCGGCGCACAGAGGGGCATTTGACCCGAAAAGCTGGTCAAAAGGTCAGATTCTATTTGCGAGTAACGTTTTGTCGTTTATTCGTTTGTTTCGAATAATATTCTTTCTCTGTATTCATGAACAGTTATATAAGTAAACTGTATCTTCGTTTTTCTATGAAAAGTAATACTTGTTAAGAAATGTTACACTTGAAAACAATTTCGTTTCATTCGTTCTCTCGACAATGACGATTTTGACGATTCTTTACGATCACGATTGTTAAAATTAGAACCAACAGATTCTTCAAAATGACTTATTCCTGATTCCTTTCACGATTACTGAGAAGATCAGAATTAGAATTAAAATTAGAATTGGAAAAGATTTCATTACTTCTACGAAAAATGATTAAGGGAATTTAATAACAGCAAAACTGAAATATAAGCCAATTGGAATCTTAATGAATAATGATAATGCTTATGGTTTTTATAAAAAAATTTGTATAAGTCAGTTCAAGGGAAAAACGTCAGTGTCTTACGTACTTATTCCTTCGTAGCAAAAATGGGAGAATTATTATCTGCTACCACGATCCCTATGTTACTCTGTTATCTATTTACGCTATTGGACATTTTAACCCTTTGCGGACGAACGTCGACATTTCGTCGAGATGAAATTTTCATATTTGGAAGACTAAGTCGGTAATAAATCATTTAATTACTCTGACAGCAAGAGATCAGCCCGCAGTTTCCTTTCTTCCTATTAACTAAGTGATATTTAATTTAACTTCATTCGTTGAAGACTTTGTAGATTTCCAGTCGCCATTTGATTTAATGCAAGAAAATTGTAAAATTGAAAATTTAATATCAAACTTTACATAACGCACGAGCACATGGAACATCGAAATAAAATAGTTCACTTAATTTATGCAAGGTATTTCTTTATGTTAATTGCAAAAAATATCATTAACATTTCATCAGAAAATAATGAATATTTATCGAGAAAAATATTCTCGAGGGCAAAGGGTTAATACCGATCTGTACAGCTTCCGTAGACCACGACGAACGCGATAGGTTTAACGCGACGATGAACAACACGATGACAAATGGCTCTCGACGAATGACGAGAGATTACTCGCGTTCTTTCTTCGGTTTCCCGAAACGTTCTACGAAACGGGACGGAGTTCACCTCTTAAGCACGACGCGCCACTATAGTGGCTCCGTCGCTACCAATATGCCATATATTATACCCAATTGTATTAATTATTATTCTAAACTGTCAGAGTTAAATTACGTGTATCGTATCTTTCAGAAAAATTATAATTTAATCATCGAAAACTTCATTCCAATGTACTCGCGTAGAGAACAGCATTGTCCGTACAGAGAAACAGCCCCGCGCAAAATTCAGCCGCGCCTGAGAGGTTAAGGAAACCATCGACGTAATGGGAAGAGATCGATCTGTCGCGCGTCCCGGGCGCGCTGGTTCGGATCTGAAATCGTTCGCTCTGGATCACGAGGTTATCTCGCTAGATTATGCTTGTAGGTCACTTCGCCGTTTCCCGAAACCCAGCATCGCGTGTTGCTGGGACGAGAGGTCGCATTGTGGATCGCGCTTCTTACTTTCCTCGTTGTTGTTATGTAATCTGGGATTCGTACGAGAAACGCCATAGTTTCGCCGGGGATCTAGAATCTTCCGAACGTTGACGATCGTCGGATTGTACTAGAATACAACGTGGATCGCAACGCTTAAGCAGTCTTGCTTAACCATCGAGAGGAAGTGAATTATCGGTTCTACTAGAATGAGAAGATATATGAACTTATGGAGAAATTTATTTAGAAATTTACTTAGAATAATCGTTATGATTGAGAACTTAGTGACTTCAATCTAAAGAATTTTGATTTCTTATAGATATTCCTAAAATTTGTCTTGTATTGTTGAATTGTTAATATTGTTTAGCAATAACTCTGTACAGTGACACATTCGACAATCTAGTTAATGCAGTAAAATTATCAATGCGTATGTCATTAGCAAGTTTGCAATAAAAACATCGAGACGTGCGTGCCACGTCTTTCCTGTATGAGTCGTGTAATTTATACAGCACTTTATTTAATTACGAATAATTATAGCAAAAGTTCATCGACTAGTCGGAATAAATCGATTCAATCCAGCTCGACGTTCTCCTGACAAGGAAAAAAGGCCAGACATAAAATCTTTAACCCCTTGACTTATGATTTCTTTCTCAACTCTGATCGATACATTCAACGTGTTAACACTAGAACTACCGAGCATTTAATACGATTAATATGCAATTTCTATAAAAATTGTAACAATAGATTATTTTCAGTTTCTTTGGATATTCGTCATAGTACTCAAGTGAAACCATTTATTTAAAAAATCATTTCAAATATTCAATGCTTTTAAGGTATTAATAACTGTGAAACAAACAAATTGAAACCAGTCATTTAATAAGATTGATATGTAATCTCTACAAAAATTGTAACAATAGATTATTTTCAGTTCCTTTGGATATTCGTCATAGTACTCAAGTGAAACCATTTATTTTCAAAATCATTTCAAGTATTCAATGCTTTTAAGATATTAATAAATGCGAAACAAAAAAATCGAAACCATTCAGTTAATAAGATTGATATGTAAACTCTACAAAAATTGTAGCAATAGATTATTTTCAGTTTCTTCAGGCATTCATTATCGTACTGAAATGAAACTATTTATTTCCAAAATCATTTCGAATATTCAACGCTTCGAAGATATGAATAATTGCTAAACGAAAAAAATCGAAACCAGTGTTTTCGACTGGTACGGTAGTGTTAGTGTTAACAGCGTGAGTTTTCCCGGCGTGAAACGCTTATTCTCACGGTAAAAAAGCGGCCTCGCAGTTCTGGCTTCGATTGCCATTCCCGTCATGCACGGCGCACGCGGGACCGAGGCTTTTTCACGGTGCAACACGCAAACGCGTGACTGCGGGATCGCGCGAAGCACCTGCGAATGCGCGAGCACAAAGAACGACGAGGAGGAACGCGCGTAACCGAGCCCGATTGTGATAACCGGACTGCGTTCCTCCGTCCGTTCAAGGCCGCTCGCCGCTCGCGACCCTTGACACTCTCGCGCTCCGCCAACGACACCTCCCACGGTTCCACGATCGTTTTCTTTCACCGTCTCTTACCTTGGCACCGTGCCTCCGCGAACGGAAAGTCTCCTTCCTCTTCGTTCGATCGGAACGTTCGCCGATACCGTTGATTTGTTCCCCCCGATCGCACGATAAGGTTTTGAGTTCATGAAATATTAATGGTCTCCAAGTCCTGGAATTACTGGAAAACATTCAAACGCAAACCTCGCGATAGCGTTTAGATCTACGTTCGGATTCGTGTTAGCGCGTTGGGGTTTCGTTTATTAAAGAACGAGAGGCAATGACAAATAGAACGAAAATATACGTCGTCGCACGGCTGAAAAGGGGAAAAGTCGCGGCGCGACAGACAGGCATCGGTGAAATACAAATGCGCCATTGATTAACCGAAGCGACATGAAATCTAGACAGCGCGATCGCGTCGCGTGCGACACGAAAGGTTAAAGGCGATCAGTTTAGACGAGGAATTCAATTACAGTGTCTGATAAAAGAATTAGGGTTGTCCGTTTGGAACGTTTTCCGTCGTACTGCAGGTTCAAACGATAATTCGGTAATCAATTCCCTATCGTAGCGTGAAGAGTCAAAGAAATGTCTGAGCTATTCATCATCGATATCATCGCTGCTCTGAGATGACATCAATGGTGGCCCTAGTTTTCGGAGTAACGATCGTGGCCGCTCGTCCGGACGCCGAGAATCTAACTCGCGTGAACTTCCGTCGAAGCAGTCGATCTGCCGAGCAAATCGGCAGTAACCAATGGGCAAACAGAAAAGATTTAACCTGCATTCCTCGACAAATGGTTCCGCAAACACGGCCGAGGAAGAAAGACGAAGTTTCTTTACATCCGGCAGACGGTTTCTCCCTAGTTTCTCCGATCTCTCCGATCTCCGGTTTCTACGCTACGCTTTATTTCGAAGATCCACGGGAACTCGGGACGCGAGTCAACGAGCGTGACAAACGCAGGATTCATTTGTATTCTTCGACGCGCGCCGCTGAGCGGCCATTAATTCGGGGGATTAGCAGCCGGCCACCCGTGGATTGCGGAGCTGAAATGTAAAATCCCGCCGCTGGCCGCGGTCACGTTCGAATCGCATCACAATGCGACCGAAACCCGGCTGTTCCAACACAACAGAACCGCCCACGGATCTAATCGATCTGCCAGCTTACGCAGGAAACGATAAATTCATAGCAGAACCGTCGAAGATGAATATTCTCTAAGAATCTGCCGCGAATCCTGTGCACGAATCTCTTTTCAGCGGATTTCGTGATGTTTATCGTGGAACGTACACCGAACGGAAGCGTCGAAATCGTGGAATCGGTGGCAATAGAAGCGTCCCGGTGTTCAGATTTGATTGATTTCATTTATTTCGTTATCAAACGCGATACGCCGGCAACGTGGTACGCACGCGTAACGCAATCCTTTGGCTTACATGTATACACGTTACAGGTTAATACATATAATAATATACATAGACTAATACCGCTTCTGTTTCGTTTTCTGCTCTGCACCTAGGTCTGAGATATGTTCAAGGCAGGTACAGGTGATACGTCGGTGAACACTAAACGAGGTACGATACAACACACTAATCGGACGCGTCCGATTTCGTGAAACGCGGGGAACGGTCCGGGGTGAACGCGCGTGTGTGCCCGTGATAGACGAGTTCTCGCGTGGGAATCCCGGCGGGTCGCGGGATACTCCGTATGCGCGCGGTGCAACATTGACGTGTTCGAAAGAAATCGATGCGTGGTTTAGAAATCAATTGACAGTCCCGAACGACGCCGACGACGGGACCCATCGAGGAGAGTTCGGGCGAAAAGCGAGCCTCTCTAGTATGTTATATCTTACTCTACGCGGCTTACACACTCCCGTCCTGTCGACAGTTCCTCTCGCTGCCTCCCTACTGGTCGCGGATCCGTTAGAAATCTACAAATCGTGGCCGACGGGGCGGAATGAAACTGAAACTTGGTCTCCGGGTTAGTGAGTAGAATACGTCCAGATGTAAAAGCGGGATTTCCATTCGTGTTCCGCGAATACCTAAGAAAGCTCCCTTAAAATACTTAGAAAACACCTGTTTGTTTCTGTTGTTCTGTTGCGGATAAAGCTTACACGCTAAGGAGAATGACGGTTCGGGGCCCGGGCACGCCGACACGTCGCCCGGGTCGCGACACGCGCGCCGATGACGCCTTTTGATTACTCTTTTCTGTTTTCCGTTTGCTCGCCGTCGAAAATGTCGCTTTCAGACGCGCGCGCGATCGTTCGATTCTGATGGTTGTTTCATCCCGTAGACCGGTGCTGGCGTTCCTCTCTGTTGCGAGGCGATCTCGAGGCGACGGAAGGGGCGCGCGACCTCCCGACCCTGAAATCCCTTCGGTGCACGGAATCGTTCGGGGGGAGCGCGGCTCAACCCCTTCGCGCCATCGACGAGAAGAGGTAGCTGACGAGGAACGAGCCGAGAGCCATGGACGACGCGAAGCTCAGGCTGCTGGCGCCCGACAGGCGAAGCTCCTTCAGCAGGTCGGCCGGCAGGTCAAGGTACACCTTCTCGACGCCGACGTCCTTGATCAGCGTGGACAGCTGCGTCGCGTTCACCGCGTCGCCTTCGCTCGACCAGATGGTCAGCGTCGCGTTCTTCAGCTTCGCGCTCTTCTCCATCAGCGACTTCATCGTGGCGATGTCGTTCGCGGCTAAGCCGGCTCTGACGGCGTAGGTTATCGGCTGCTCGACCTCCTCCACCGCGGTGATCATCTGCTGGACGTGCTCCGCGGTGTACGAGAGGCTGCTGTTCGTGTACCTGCAAACGAACGGTCGCATGAAACCTCGGATGATAAAGCAAATACGTTAGATACGGAGCATCGATTTATTCGAAGCGTTTGCTGAGGGAACGTTAATTCTACGATAAATATTCGGCTGTAAATTTCTAACAGCTTTCGGATGCAGACTCCGCTTAACACATCACTTTTCTATTTACCGTTCTAATTTCACTTCGCGAATGGAATTATTCTACATTGCAAGTGGCACTGGGTTTCTTACTTGGTGGTCCAGCCCAGGGACAACGTGAATCTCGGGAACGCCTTCGCCATGGAGAGGAAATTGGTCGAGTCCACGGGTTTGGTGGCGTTCGCTTCTTCCGTTGGTCCCGGAAGTATGTCCGCGTTCAGGAACACCGGCTGTTTCGTCTGAAAGGGAATCGTTCGATCGATTAATCGTCGACGCGAGAAGAGGGAGAGGGAGACAGAATTATCGAGAACTGAAGAGCTTCGAAGAGTTCCGCGCGAACAGCGAAGAATTCCCGAGTACCGAGCGCGGCGAGGCGGCGGTGATCGGGCCGCAGAAATAGCGCGCGATTCCTAGAATATCCTTTTATCGAAAAAGTTTAGCGAAGCATTCCATCGGCGGCCGGCACCGCGAAACGTCGGTAGGTCTAAAAATAATCGGCGGCGTTACGTACGACGTTGTGAGTGTCTTTCAAGATCGCCATGCTCGCGTTGAAGGCGTCCAAGGACTTGAAGTCGAGCTTGGCGCCCTTCTTCGTCCCGTTCACCTCCAGCAGGAAGTCCTTCAGCGACAGGTCGCTCTCGGTGGCGGGTGGATGCGCCATTATCGGGATCTCCTCGTCCTTCTGCGAAGTTTTCAGCTTGCCGAGCACCACGTCGGCCTCCAGCATCATGACGGTTTCTTTAAAATAGAGAACAGAAGTTTCTCAGCTGCGTTCGTGTGCGTTTAGTAGTTTGTGTATGTATGTGTGTGAATGTGTGTGGATGTCGGTGCGACGGAGAAAGAGCGAAGGAGGGGCGGAACGCTCGCGGGAAAAGAGGGAAAAACGGCGAGAGAAAAGCCGGGAAGGAAAGCGAGAAAGTCGACTGGTTTCAGAGCGGGCTGCACACACGTGCAACGACAATATCGATCAGGCCTAAAGAGGCTGGGAGCCAACGACGGATCCTACTTTCTCCGACGGCGTTAAATACGTCGTTCCAGAGCGCGCCGGAGCTAAAAAGTTTCTCTAATCCGCCGCCATTTACCTTGCACTCTCGTCTATGGAATGCGCCGGTGCATCGAAAATATTCGACGACACCCGCCGCATTCGAGGCGAAACCGATCCGAAGGTTACGAGTCTGCGCGGTGAATCACGCGGTGATCTTCGCGCAACGAGGAAACAGGCCTTTCGAATTCGCAGTCGTTCGCGCTTCATTGTTTGGACAGATTCTACGTTTGTTGCGACTATTGCACACTGCGCCAAATTTAGATGGACCAGTGAACATTGCTAACGATCATACGTAAATCGAGGAACATGGCTATTATGTTTCACATGCACGCGTTACGCAAGGATTAATATCGAATATCCGACTTTCTAATTTTACTGTATCAAATCTAGCGACTGGCGAGAGGGCCAGACGTAGAAATCTGTTTTCTAATGACACTCTATGCTTGTCGTATATACGTATCTGAATGAAAAACGTGGCTTTTTCGACAGTGGTCCTCTGTTTTCGAGGAAAATCGGTTCTAAGCTCGTTACCATAAGACGATCAGAAGCTTACTAGAAGATATCGTCCCAAATATCCATTATAACTTCTCTCTAAATAACTTGTACTTTATCATTGCAATATTATCCATCGTCCTATTACGGTAACAAACTTAACCTAAATATCCTTTGTGGACGAATGTCGATATTTCGGGAAGATGAAATTTTTATATTCAGATAAGTCATAAACAAACATTTTACTCGAAGAACAAGAGATCATCACGTAGTTTCCTTTTTTTCCTATTATTTAAGCAACTGATATATAATTTAGCATCTGCTGAAGCTTTTGTACATTTAACCCTTTGCGAACGAATGTCAGTTCGAGATGAAAGTTCTGTATTTAAAAAACGTGAACGAATGATTTGACAACTCGAACAGCAAGATATCAGTACGTAGTTTCCTTTTTTTATATTAACACTTTGCCGGCCGCACATTTACCGCATCGCCGTTAGGTTGGCGCGGGTATGACGCAGGAAGGCAGCAAAAGACAGTTTCAAACTAACAGAAGCATCTGCTTAAAAGATTTTAACAAAAGACGATCTGGTAAACTGGGAAGGGAGAACAGTGGAAGCAATTGTTCCTCTAAAAATAGCATCAATATGTATTCCTATACAAGCATCGGAATGATAATCACGCGTACGTGACAGCGACCGATAACAGCTGGCGAAAAGAAGTCACGTGTACGTGACAGCGACCGGTAAAGTGTTAATTAAGCAATTGACGAGTAATTCAGCTTCATCTGCTGTTTCGTATATTTTATAGAATCTTCGTCCGCAAAGGGTTAAAAGAATCTTCGTAAAGGGTTGACACTCATTCCTCTCGAAAACAGACTGTCAACACACTACATCCACAGTTTCATTCAAAGACTCTCTCCTCATGAATTCACTTCATTACAAATTCTACCCCTTACGTCCACACCCCCGCATCGAAGGAAACTCAAAAGGTGACCTTAACTTCGGAAGATCCGATTGCTCGCGAAAATCCGGCGACCGCCGTGCAAAGGGTGTTCAAAGGACGCGAAGTCGGAGTGACCCTGGTTCGTTTCCTGTTTTCGTCGGCGGCTGCGCGCGATCAATCGCGCGATTCGAGGATCAAGGCCGCGCGTGTCCGAAGGCTGACCTTCCGCGACGATCTCCTCGCCTCCTCATTGGAATTCACGAGCGGCCCCAGTCTCTTTCTCGAAGATCTTTCGTCGACGTGATCGTTCGCCGGTCAACGCGCGCGCATCCGTTTCCCTGAATATTAATCGGGGGCTGACCAGCATCCGGTAATCCCTGCGACGCGTGTCCCAAATAGCAGATCCTCGGGAGCGGCCTTCGGCCGAGGATGCGCTTGCTCGGCGATAATTAGCGGCTGGTTACCGACGGCTCGCCCACGGCGAACACATGTTGCCGTGGTCGGCTTGTTGCATCCGAGAGCGGCGTGCCCCGAAAAGTTGCCAAGGATTCTTGGCAACCGACGCGACGCGTGCTTTGAAAGGACTCCGTGCGCGCGGGTCGGTCGGAAGGATTAACCCTTTGCACTCGAGAGGTGACCGTTAGTCGCCATTTGATTCGACGCAGTAAAATTTGAAAATTTAATATTTAAAATTAAAACTACCGAGCAATCGACTTTTTAAAATTTCGCTATAGAAACTCCAAGAGTGCATCTGTTCAGACTTTGATTGATTCACAATTCAATTTGCGTAGTGCTGAATGAATTTCTTTAATAATTTCTCAGAGAAACGTTTGTTACCTTTCTAATAATTGCAAAAAGGAAACATCAGCGTCTGGTAGTTTCAGTGTTAATATTGAACTATGTATAACGAATCGGTGCGCGAAATATTGGAATAAAAAAGCTTTGTTCCTCAATTTACCTGTGATTTCTCTTTGAATTCATTTTCGAGAAACCATCGTCTTTGTCTAGGTAGAAAATGTTAAGTGTTGCTGACGAAATACTTCCGAGTGCAAAGGTTTAACCCTTGTTGTCATCAATAATTTTATGAAAGAAGTTTTGTCATGGAGATTGGAGAAATTGGTTTGCTCGAATTTCTGAGTCGTCGAGGTTTCAATTTGGTAATTAGTTCACACGAGGAATAGGAGAGTTTGGAAAGAGAAAAATTCTAAGCATAAGTTATGCATAATTATTGCATAATAATTCATTACAGAGGAATAATATTTACTTCGAATTCGAATGAACCGAGTAATATTTATTTATTGAATCACGTTGAAAGTCTTCACTTACTCGTTGTAGGACAAGGGGTTAACAGCAAAAGTAAATAATCTAGATGAATCCTCACTTTTTCATATTCTCTATCAAACAAGAAACAATCTCGCAGGTCGTCGCATGTATTTTCGAAACACTCTGCGCGTTTCTCATCGCAGAGTTCGTTAGCCAATGAAACGCGGAGCCGTGGAAAGGGATTGGAATGGTATCTTCACCATACCCGGGGGAAATGAATGTTTCATGGGAAATCCGCACGGCTATCCGGCACATCATACTTTTCCGAAATCGATTATTCGGAGGCTGGCCGCCCGCCAGATACGTATCCCGGAAGAGACGAATCGATAGTCATTGACCACGTGTCGGAAGTTTGATCGCGGACCTCCAATACCATTTAACTTTCGACGTGTTGCTTGGTAACAAGGAGCCGCTGCTGCCAGCACCGCTCTCGACCGAGTTAAAGGCGAGGGATTGGAACGAGGTGCTCCGGAATTCGAAACGGACAGTGGGAATACTCGTTTTAAGAGGTTATTCGTGAGAAACGAGTAATACCTGTTCATCCTTCTACTTGTCCGTGATGTTTCAATGGGAAGAAACGTGTGAGGATCCGAGTATAAAGGAGATACAATAATTCGGAGAGACTTACCATTCTTCAGTGCACTGTCCAGTAACGCTTTGCTGTTCACCGCGTGCGCCCATACGACCTTGGTCAAGTTGCCCTCGATCTCGGGGAAGAAGATGCTCGGACTCAACTCGTCGTTGCACATGGCAGCCTCTGTAACAAGCAGAAGAAGTCGTTTAGTTCGATGCCAGTAGCTTCGGTGCACTCGGGTTGACCCTGCAGTATTGCGTGACACAAGATTTCGAATAGAATTTGACAGTGTCAGTTAGTTCTTTCAAGTTAGAATGAGTGTCATTTCTCTGTTAACAATTAGACTGAATTACGAATTGAAACAAAGGTTTCGCCTGGTGAACACTAACATCTTGAACATTTCATATATATTCTTGCAAGTTATGCAATTTTTCTTGAAATCGAGTGGTGACTGAGAGTCACCTCCCGAATGCAAAGGGTTAACAAGCATCATTGTTATTCATTACCTACAAATCAAAGCAAACAACTATCTTGCCATTATCAATTTATCTTCAAATGAAATTTCCATTTCAACTACAGTAGAAAATTTCGTTGCATCTCTCTCAAATTATCGATAGCGAAATGTTACACGAACTTATTAGTAAATAGTACGCCAAGGGGTTAATATTCTCGGAGCCACTCTCGACCTCCGACCCCGATATTCGGCTGGCTCGTTCCATAATTGACCGGACGGCGAATTCCTCGCGAGGCGGGATGCTCGGTGCGCGCAAGGAGCCGGAGAGTTTTTGGGGGGAGGGATCGGTAGCCGGATGACTGAGAATCTCGCCCTACTTCGCTCATTGTGGCTCCTTCACTCCCCCCTCGCCGGCGCGCCGCCCCCTCGAGGCAGATCGATAATCGTATTCACTCGTTACCGTCGTTATGCTCGTCGACATCGAAGGAAACCGTTCCTCCCGCGACTCGCCGGAAAAGAATGCCAATCGGCGAATCGATTTTTCCTCCATTGTGCCCGGCGCTCACCTCGGAACTCCTTACCTGGACTTCTCTCGCCGCGAGTCAGCGTTTCTCGTTACACGAGTTTCTCTTTAATCCGCGCGATTCTCTCCTCTCCGCGACATTACTCGACGGAAGGTGCTTTGTGTTTTTTTATGATTTATTAACGTGACCCCGTTATGAATGGCAATTGAAAGGAGAAATAATAGAAGGGATCGAGGGAGATATTAGTGACATTCCTTTGGAATATTAGGAATATCACTGAATGTTCAGAGTATTGGTTGGAAATAATTGGACGAAGTTGAATGTATTTATAGGAAATCCGAGTGTAATCGAATACGTGTCCATAGTGTCGATTAGGAGAAACTAGCTATCGTAATGTTGATTTGGCAGTCGCTGTTAGAAATTTGAAGCATGAAGTTTCTGAAATAATTGTAACATCTAGAATTTTTAAGGTTAACGCTAGGTTTACGGAACAAATTGACGCATATTGGATTTTGGAAATATTATTTTGTAAATGTTTACGCCGATTTTGATTGAGATCACACTGACATGTACCCCAATTACCTGCTATCGAATCTCCAGTTTCCACAATCTAAATAAACGAGCATTCTTTTAGGAACAATAGAATGAAGTGTACAATAAATGCCCGTGAACCTAGCGTTGGTAAGAAAAAGCCTTTGACACAAAGTGAGCATTGCCAAGAATACAGCTGATAATAACAGAGCAGAAATAGATGCAACGAAAGTGACAAAGGGTTATTTGAGGAGAAACAACGGCCACGGTTCCACCGGGAAAGCGGAGAGAATTCATTCTCGTGTAAGGATAACGCGGGCCTTTTATTTTTAGACCGTTACGGGACCGGCAATCGGCGTTATTTTCGAAAACGGCGTATTATCTTGCGAATTTTAGTTGGCCGAATCGATACGGGAAGAGCGAACTGCCGATACAATGGTTTCAACTGACCCGTTTCCGGTCCAGCAAACGGTGCACAGTCGGGAGGGGGGGAGCTGCTGCTCTGTGCGTTAGCCCGATCGACCATCGAGGCGCGAGGGAAAACGGGTAAGCGGTTTCCCATTCTTTTTATATTTTTTTCTGCCACGTCGGAGCGACGGGGATACCGCGCATGCACGAAAAATTCTGACGTTATCCGTTTATTCGCAGCCGTAAATCGACGGAGAGCGACAACAACGTTGCTCGCCGATAACATCGTAGAGTTTCGCTAACTTCTCAGCGTAACGTCGATTCGTCGACGATAATAATAGAATTGTATTGTTTAACATTAGATAGAATAGTGTCTTTTAACACTAGAACCACCGAGCATTGAAATTGACTTTTGAAATGTCTATAGAAGCTGCAACATCTATTGAAGCTTCAATTATTCAGTTTGCGTATTGCAAATCAATTTCTTTAATAACTCCCAGAAAATCTACTATATTTTTAATAATTTCAAAAAGAAATTAGGAATGGCTCATTTTCGTTCCGTGGTTCTAGTTAACCCTTTGCACTCGAAAGTTTTTCACTGAAAACATTCCACATTTTCTGACGAGATATAGACGACATTGTTCGAAAGTAATTTAACGATAATTCACAGATAAATTACGCGACAAAGTTATTTTATTTAAATATTCCCTATAGCAATACGAAATTTCATTTAAAATACCAAATATTCAACTGCATAGTTTTGCTGTGTCAAATTAAGTGGTGACTGAGACCTCTCGAGTGCAAAGGGTTAATACGCAAGTATTGAATTTCACACTGAAACTACCGATCGAAATCACCCATTCCCGATTCCTTTACTTTGCAATTATTATCAGTATAACAGATATTTCTCAGAAATATTCAAGAAATTAATTTAAGCAAACCGAATTGTCCATTCTCGATTGCGCTGTTAGAGTTTCTATAGAGGAATTTCGAAAAGTCGATGCAACTGCTGTGCAGGTTCAGCGTTGAAAAGATAATACGATGTTACGTGGACTGGCAACGTGGAATCTCCGATAGGGAAGGACAAAGACAGACAGTCCAGCCAATTACAAGTTAATTTCCCCGTCCACGGTTGACAGGTTCAAATGATTTTTCTTGAACGGTAAAAGGAAGTGCAGTTAGGAATGGTAGAACACTCGCGCCGCGGCCACAGCCTCGTCTATATTTCACGATTTCGTCTATGTAGTACAGTTAATTATCGGTTTTCTGCATATCCGCGGCTACGCGGGTACAATCACGCTATCTAGAGGCTCGAAAGGTCATCTGAAATGTGTCGCTTGCACGGTGCCCCTTAATCACGCTGAAATCCGGCACCGATCCGCGGAAAGTCTGGCCAGTGTAATCGAGAAGATTACGGAGTCAAAGGTGGCCCGACGCGAGATTTCCTTTAACGGCGGATAAATAATTGGCGGAACACAAGAAGAGCTGCAATTTCGGAATCGGGTCACCGCCGGGTGCACCTGTATTCTCGTTGAACGTTCTCTCCGTCGTTTTCGGTCGACGAATATTCCCGTGCTATCTCTGCGGAAATGGAAAAGGGAAGTAGATAACAAGAAGGAAAACATTCAGACGGCTCGGCCGTTAAGCTCCGGTTCGAGAGATCGTTGTTTAACCTCCCGCCTTATGAGTCGTTTCGCAATTATCCTCTTGAACGCTTTGATTTCAACCCGAATTCGAGTGATACCGTTTCTTAGGTAATTTGAAATATTAATTTTCTCGGTGACGTGTCGGACGGATGAATTCTGTTGGATGTACGAGATATCAGAGATATTGTAGAGCAATCGTTTAGGGATGTTGTAATAAATATATTTTAATTAGAAATCAACATTCTCTGACGAGACATAAGCGATAGCGTTTAAAAACTAATTTAACGACAATCCATAGATAAATTAAGAACAAAGGTTTTGTTTAAATACTTCACGCAGCAATGCAAAGTTTCATTTGAAACATTAAATATTCAACTTCATAGTTTCCTTGTACCGAATCAAGTGATGACCGAGTCACCTTTCAAGTGCAAAGCGTTAATATTAAAATCAATGTCAAAATCACGAATCCCATTCGTCGGTGCGATACAATGCAACCGGCCGACGCGTTGTAGCGGACCGAAAACGGTCGTTATCTCGACCTTCTCGTCCCCTTCGGCTGCGATTCGCGCCGTGAGACTTCCGGTCGACTTATTTCCGAGCCATCGGTTCCGCACAGAAGACGTTCTGTCAGGGAATCGGTCATCGACCACGAGGAAAACGTGGCGCGGCCACGTCCTCTCGTTTCACCGCAGAGTTCTCGAGTTCCCGAGGTGGGACTGACCCCGCGCTCGCCCTAGCTCGACGTCGCTCTAATTGGCTGAACAATCGATCGTCTGTCTTCGCGGGACACGACGTTCCCTAATAACGCTGTAACGCGTCGCCGTCCTTATGCAACCGCAGTGTTTCCCAGAAAATTCCGAGCAGTCGCTTCTCTCTCCGTTATTCTCGCGCGCCGCGATCATTTCCCCGGGGGCCCGACTCGGCTCGACTCGACTCGACTCGACTCGCCTTTCCATTCGCCGACGCGGAGTCACGCTCCCGGGGACGTCTCCTCTCCGTTTGATCGATGCGTTATCGATCCTGGATATTAATTCCTCCGTAAACTGGAAGACATCCTTGGGAACGTATCATCAAGCGCGAGGTTATCGCGTTTAGAAGAGTAATTTTCAAAGAATTCTCCCTCCCACGCCTGTTTACCTGGATAAACTTGCGTCTAAACGATTATAGAGGAACGTGTTTGACAATTTCCAGGGAACGCCTTATATTTATCGTGGATATTTACCGTCCTCCTGTTACTACGACAGTTGATAAGCGGAAGATAGAATGGCCATTACAGATGTTCCGATACCAACGGCAGTTGAGAAATACTAAAATAAAACTTCGCTTCGAAATTACTGTATACTTTCCCATCGGTTTAATAGAATGTCGTGTATATTACGTCGTAAAATGTTGAACACTTGCAATAAAAAGCTTCCGAGTGCAAAGGGTGAATATTTATAACAGATACTCCAATTCTTATAAACCTTAACACTTGTCACCCAAATTCAAGAGGAATTAATATAAACTTCAATCTTTTACGCAAATTTAAACATTAATTTTCTTAGCATATCGAACCGAACACTTGGATCTAGAAAGATACCACAGAAATCGTAAAGAATACTGACGTCTCAATTTCTGCCT